TAAATGCAAAAATGAACAAATTCGACCCTTTTAACAAAATAATTTTCTTACAAGAGAGAGAAAGAAATGAGAAATATTTCTTCATCTTTCCCAACGTAGATTTTATAAAACCAAAGCGAAAATATTTGCTAAACTAATGATTTTCGATAAGTTAATAACTTTATTATAAGCAACGTCGAGATGGACTCACTGATACAATACATTAAAAATTTTACGCTCCCATTTAAAGAGATGAGGTTGAGCTTCACGTGTCTCCAATACGTTCTATGAAAAGACTATCGATTGTCAACCCTCTCTTTTTCCTATTACCAGCTAATCAGATATTTAGTTACTCTCACTTATTTGCATATTGTTTATTTCAGGAGCATAAATCTCATAAGACACAAAGAAGAAAACACACAAGATTATTGTTAAAGATATAAAAAGATCATTTAAAAGACTAATTAAAAGATATCGACTTTAGACATGGACTTTAGAATAGATAGACTTTAAAAAGACTATCGACTGTCAATCCTCTCTTTTTCCTATTACCAATAGCTAATCAGATATTTAGTTACTTTCACTTATTTGCATATTGATTATTTCAGGAGCGTAAATCTCATAAGAAGAAAACACACAAGAATATTGTTAAAGACATAAAAAGATCATTTAAAAGATATCGACTTTAGACATGGACTTTAGAATAGATAGACTTTAAAAAGACTATCGACTGTCAATCCTCTCTTTTCCCTATTACCAATAGCTAATCAGATATTTAGTTACTCTCACTTATTTGCATATTGATTATTTCAGGAGCGTAAATCTCATAAGAAGAAAACACACAAGAATATTGTTAAAGATATAAAAAGATCATTTAAAAGACTAATTAAAAGATATCGACTTTAGACCTAGACTTTAGAATAGATAGATTTTAAAAAAGACTATCGACTGTCAACCCTCTCTTTTTCCTATTACCAATAGCTAATCAGATATTTAGTTACTCTCACTTATTTGCATATTGATTATTTCAGGATCGTAAATCTCATAAGAAGAAAACAAGAATATTGTTAAAGATATAAAAAGATCATTTAAAAGACTAATTAAAAGATATCGACTTCAGAGATAGACTTCAGGAAAAAGGTATTAAAAAAAAGAAAGAAAATATAAACGTTGGATATCAGACAGACTTTTTCTACAATTAGAAGTTAACATCATCTAATTCCCTGATTCTGTGTCTGAAGCGACATCTGTACAATGAAAACCTCCCCCTCCAGCCGAAGATCAGTTTGCCGATGCTCGCGGAACCTCGCGGAAATTTGAAGGCGGTGGTCCGCGGGATCCGGAAGAAGAGGCGAACGACGACGGCCGGGGGGTTTAGATAAGCGCCCCTACGGGAGGGGCCATTAACCGGTGAGAGAACGGCGTGAAAGCAAGGAGGATATTAGAGCGATCCGGCGATTGGCTCCGATGCAATTTCGTACGGTACGCTGGCGCGGCACGTTGGGCGAAGGTGTTAAATTCACTGGATGTACGTCGGACGAGCCATTCTGGGGTAGCCGACAAATCCGATCGTATTTTCATCGACGCCAAATTGGCAATATCCTCGCCGGTGACGATTCCTGAATTATGCATCAGCCTCGGGGACAGTCGCTTCGCTTCGCTTCCAAGTTTATCCATCCCGCTCGTTTCCATCCGCAGACTCGACCCGTTCGACTCTCTTCCCCACGCGGGAGCGACGGCGGGAGAGGGGGGAGGGAGAGTTTTCTGCCCTCTCGCAGCTTCCACCCTCGCGGCCACCCCCGACCCCAAACACCCTCTGCCGGCTTCTCCGCCGCCTCCACCACTTTCCACCGTCTATTCCAGCCCCTGTTCTCTCTCTCTCTCTCTCTCTCTCTCTCTGTATCTCGCGCGCGCGCGAGCGAGCGCGCTCTCTCCCTTCCTTCGGGGCCCTTTCTCCAATGGAAACGTCACTTATTGGTCGAACGAAAGGGAGGAAAAAGAGAGGACACCACCCTCGAATCCGACCAATCACGGTGAACGTCCGCGATAATGCTCGCGATATTTGCCGTGGTACAGACACCGGCAAAAACGCGCCGCGCTTTCTCCGTGAGATCGCGGCCGATCGAGATGATCCCGCCGCGAAGTTCTCTTTTAAGGTTGTTTATACGGTAACCATTTTCGCCGAGGGTTCGATTTTATCGAACGGGGACAGGCCAGATGTGAATAAGCCTGTCCTGACTCGTGCGACGACGATCGCGCGCGAGCCATCTGATCGACTTTCACCTCTTTTTCTTCTCGTCGAAGAAAAATCGATTTTACCTCCGTTGTTTAAGTATTCTTCAGCCTGAGCGAATTTAGAAGCGAGTTTAACAGAGTTCTCCTTAACTGGTTACATTTGTAACTAAGATATTGTAATGTCAGTTGCTTGCTCTCTCTCTCTCTCTCTTCTTCGTATTTAACTCAGTTTACCTGATTCTGCGTGTTTACTTTGGTTGTACTAATTCTGTCTGATTCTTTGTACCAGTGATCGGAAAAGTTCAGGAACAGAGATTTTTGTTTTCGAAACGTAGATCGTAGAACTTATTTCGATAAATGTTCTCAAAAACGAGAGTTTCAGACAAAATAGAACTTAGAAAACATAGACATGAAAGTTCTTCTGTTTATTCATCAGTATTAAAAATACTGACGCTGAACACTAATGTCCGAACATGAAAATAGACTTTTAATACTAAATAAATACTCTAAAATAACCTGTTTCCACTTTTACACAGATTCTAAAATACCTGTTCCATAAGAATATCAGAAACGTTCCTAAGAGTTTCTATAATTTTTGTTTATATACGAGTTCGAACAAAATTTCTTCTAAACATCTTCACTTTTTTTTCGTAACACGCGAAATGAACGAAAAAAAAAAAAAAAAAGAAAAGAAAAGAAAATTGAAAAAGTTCGAAACTCCGCGAAAGGTCGAAACGACAGCGTGAAAATGAGAAGGAGAGTAACGAAGCGGGTCCCGAGTGGACGAGAAAGGGAATCCGCGGATGATAATCGAATCGAGCGTTTGGAAACGGCCCTTAAGCCTTTACGAGGGGGGACAGACAATGGAAGGTAAAAGTAAAGCGTCGTTCTTAGAATGGAGGGTTGCTCACCCCAATAATAAAATGATAAGAACCCGGGTTGTATCCTCTCCCCTCGGCCGGTCCTTGCTTTCCACCCCTCCCCCTCCCCCTCCCCCTCCCCCTGCTATCTGTTTCCTCTGGCTGGAGCCGACTCGTATATAAATGTCGATATTATTGTAACGAACCGCTTTTGATGGCAATTTCTCCTTCCGCGCGGTCTATTGCTCAGACGAGCCCACGCGATCGGACACTCGCAAATTCGTTGAACCGGCGGAGGAATTTATGGTTTCCGGATCGCGCGCGTGGCAGAAAGAACACCGACGCGACCATTCGAGATTCACGGGAAAATCTTTCCGATCTTCTTGTATGTCATCGTGTCGATACAAATTTATTGTATTTAATTGACATTTTCGCCGCCATTGATCTAGTAAATAATTGGACACTATGGACGATCCTTTTTTTTTTTTTTTTTTTTTTTTTTGACGCAATTAAATATCGAACTGTTAAAATAAAGTAAATATGGCGGCCTTTTAATCTTTTGTTATTTGGGAAATTTGTTATTCAATTTGATGATTACCACGGTAAGATGCGGTTAAATTATATTTATGTATTGTTACTGAAATTTGTAAATAAAAATTAATATAAATAAATATTTTATAAAGTAATATTTTTAATCAAAATGTAGTATATTGAAGAATAAATGAATGATAAAGAATTAAATTTTTTGATTATTAATTTTAATATAAATTTGAAAGAGGATTTAATAGTAAATTAATTTAATTTATTAATTGCCCGTTAATTTCTAATAGGAATAAGTCGTAACATAGTTTCCAGGAACCATCATTCTATCGACACTATTTAATTAAATGTTTGGCTGTGTTATTTGTAACAAGCGTATGAGTTTTACAAAAGTGTGCTGATTAATGCTGAATTAGTAATTAGAAGTAACTGTTATTAAAAAACATGACAGTAGTATGTTTTGTTATTTGCCATAGACGAGTCTCGAACTATTAATTTCTCAATTTCATGATACTAGTTTAATTTTCGATTATAGTTCAATTTTCAAAAATTAATAATTTCAGTGAATTGATTTTATTATAATTCGTTCAGAACAAACAAACGAGTTCATTTCATCGTTTACTGCGTTAAATTGAATTAAATCAAATTCATTCTCACTTACTGACTGTGGATATTTATGCATCTTTAATTCTTCAGAGATAACAATATAATTAAAAGAATGAAACCTAAATAGAAACTTGTTTCTTCCATGAAATATCATAATAAACATTTGATTTCGGATATTTCATATTTCATATATTTTTGCATACTGCATGCATTATATAAATTTCTTTTCATTCAAATTTTTCATGAATCCATAAAAATCATCCCCAAGAATGACTTTGGTTTAATTAAATTTAGCGCAACATGAGTATGAATTCGTTTGTTTCTTCTCGTTCAGTTATCACATTAACACTAATTTGTTACATTAATAGTGTTAGCATAATGAATGAGGATGAATAATTTCGTTTAGTTCAGTTTAGTGTAATAAACGATACGAATACAAAAACACTAGTTTAGTCTAAACGGAGGTTCTAAATTATTCACTAATTTAGTCTAAATTATTTATTAATTTACCAATTTAGTCCAAGCGAAGGGTCTAAATTTTATTAAGCTTGTTAAAAAAAAAAAGATCCTTAATATACTTATCCAAATAAAACTAATCGTTGCAATTTATTGCAGATTTATTTATTCATTGAATCATTCGACAATTTTTTTCTGTGACAATAGCGGAACTTTCGCCTCGCGATTGAGATGCGTGGAATTTCGAAGAGGTTACAAGTGTTATTTCTATTGCTGCGTTTTCCCGAGCCTAATCTCACTCCCGTGTCCCGTTTTCCTTCATCTCACAGTTCTTACGCCACGAGGTCTATTCGAAATTTTAGACTTGGACTTCTCTTAGAAAAACCGAACGAGTGTGTGTGTCGAGTGTCGCGTGGACGACGAGGCTCGTTTCGTCGTTTCGAGCCGAGAAGCTCGACCCTGCCCAGAAAGGTTACGAAAGGGGCGAAGAATTTTCGAGACGTTTCGCGATGGCTTTTCACCTTCCTCCCGATTGTCGGGCTCGTACGTGACGAGACTCGACAGCACGACGAATGAATTTAAGACGAAAGACACGCGCGACACGTCGAGCACGCGACAAAGAACACACACGAACAAGTCTGCCCGTTCGTCTTCTCGTTTCGTTCGAATCTTTCGAGCGGTGGCGAGACGAGAAAGAAAATGAAAATGGAAATTTCGATCGATGCTCGATTGATCCTCGAAGCGATAGACAACGAACGGAGCGACTGAAAATATCGTTGACGACCATCGATCCGGGAAATCAATGTATGATAGACCCCGTGAGATACTGTGATCCCATTTGTCTTCTCGGTGATTGTCTGGGCATTCTCTTCATCTAGATGTTGAAGGATTAAAAGTATTATACTGGGTATTCCAGGTTTAACCTCTTGGAATAACGTGTCACACGTCGAGAATTTTTTTGTTCCAAAATTATAATATTTTCTCAGCTTTAAGTATATTTAAGTAAAACAAAATGGGCAAGACAAATAATAAATTTGTTGCTTGCCTTTACTAATTTATCACTACACAATTCATCGATTGAAAAATTGTTTGGGTAAGACAGAAAGTTTGCTGAATGTAAATTGAATTATAATAACCATTGAGGAGATTTTAATTGTAAATGTAAATGATTCAAAGTTTATTTCAGAATAAATAAATAAAATTCAGAATAAATTTAAATTTATGATTTCATAGCAAATTTTTTTCCCCGTAATGATTAATAGTCGATGTTGAATGAAATTTAATAGACAGTATTACGTATCTTGTCATATTCAAATTTTAAAGAAACAACATTTCATGACCAATCCAGTGTACAATTTTCAAAGAAAATAAATATGACAAATGAGATGAAATTAGATGCTTTGCACGTAAGATTGCAACATAAGAGTTATAATTCTCTAGCTATAATTCAATACTCGGTGATTATTTTTCACGAGATAACAACAACTCAAAGATCGACAATTTATAACTGAAAATTTAACCATTTTTCAATCCCACATGTACACAACAAACAAGAATAAATATTTCTAAATTTCCCAATTAAAAAAAAAAAATATTTCTAAATTTAAATATTTCTAATTTTAAATATTTTAAAAATATTTTTAAATTTAAATATTTCTAATTTTAAATATTTTAAAAATATTTCTAAATTTAAATATTTCTGAATTTCGCAATTTTAAAAAAAATATTTCTAAATTTCCACAATTTAAAAAAAAATATTTCTAAATATTTCTAAATTTCGCAATTTTAAAAAATTGCGTAGTGCAAAAGCACTTACCTCCGCTACTCGTCCTTCTTCTTTCTCCTCTCCGGGTCGCAGGTTTTGCGTTTCTTGCAGCTCACATCCTCCAGTACGCAAAGTTTTACCGCCTTTCTAGGACAGATATATGGCTTGCGCGGACACGGTCGCATCGTCGATTTCGATAGTGTCTTCGATGGTTTCTTCGTGTTGTAGCAAGGGCAAGGTCCGGGGTGCATTTTCGCCGGTGTCGGGCAAGGACAGAGAACTACCGGCTCTGTCGGTGGTTTTGGCACCGGTGGCGGAACACAGATCTGCTTCTTTTCTTTCGTTCTGATACTTGGAGTCTCACTGGGGGACAAGTCTGTCTCGTACACCGCATCGGGGATCTCCGGACAGGGCGCAGCCGGGGGAAATTTCGGCGGTGCGCAAACGATCGGTTTGTACTCCATCTTGGGCGGTTTGGTGGTAACTGGTTGCTCGCACTTTCCCCTCCGAATGCACTTATACACGCATTCGTCCTTCTTCGATTCCTCCCCCTTCTTCTTTTTCTTCTTCTGCAGTTTCACTGGCTCCCTGCCAGCGCACACGTCCTTCGTCTTCTTCTTCTTCTTCTTCTTCTTCTCCTCTTTGTTCTCAAGATTCCTCTGTTCGCCAGTCTTCTCATTCCCGCAAATGTCACCCATATCTTTGCAGCCGGCTGCACTCGATTTCCCATCCTTGTTGAACAACGCCGTGCACGCGTGAAACTCCCTGCAACCAACTCTCACGGGCCGTCTAACGAATTTTGACATCACGCGATACGTGGACATCTTCCTCTTCTTCAGACCCTTGCTCGCCGGTGTGCCGGAATTTTTCGGACAGGATCGAACGTCCTTGGGACAGGAAGGCTCAAGTTCTTGGCAAGGTGGACACGGTTTCGGACAAGGGCAAGGGCAACATGGTCGCGGCGGTGGACAAGGAGGAGATTTGGGACACTCTGGACAAGGCGGACAGATTCCGGGTGAAGAGGGAGATGGACAAGGAAGCGGTGGACAGGGTGGACACGGGGGTGGAGGTGGACAGAACGACGGAGGACAGGGAGGAGGGCAAGGGCAAGGTTCACACGGCGTTGGACATTTGGGTAGAGGTGATGGAGGAGGTGGCGGGCAGGATGGCGCACACTTGGGCGGCAATGGGGGTGGCGATAGAGCGGGGATCTTGGAACATTTCGGTGGCTTCGGTGGTATCGGAGGCGGAGGACACTTTCGATAGCATATTTTCACTGGAGGACATTCCTTGGGTTTTACGGAGGACGTGGAGCAAGGCGGTGGACTGGCTGTCGGAGGCTGTGGACACGCTGCGGCAGACGGAACGTCAGGTTTCTGTCGTTGCCCTCTCGGTCGAGTCTGTTTCGTACAGTCGGGAGCTGACTTGGAGGAGCAGTCCGACGATGGCTTCCTCCAGCGTGATTTGCTCAATAAGATAGAGTCGTTTCGAAAGAACCTCGCTTGCTCTTGCCACAAACACCTCGTCAACTCTTTCGACAAACCGACGATGTTCTTGGACTCCTTCGGCAGAACGGGCGCGATGCTGAAGTTCCTCGCGTTGAAAAGGGACGATCCCAAGGAACGCTGACTCCTGGCGCGAGAGTTGCCGAACATCGCGGTGGAGAGCTCGAGGACAGATCTCAGGAACGTTGCGTTCAAATCGTTCTTTAACTTGGCCTACGACGCAGACAACAGAGATTTTGATCGATAGGGGATATATCGTTTTAGTCCACCGCTATCCTCCACGTACCCTCTGTCTCTCGACGCGCGCGCGATACCGCGCGATGCCTCTAACATTTGTTCGTTTTGCACGGTTTCTTCGCTGGGCATTTAACGCAGAACTGCTTCTTCTTTCGCTTCGGTTTCGGTGGATAGCCCGGCGGACCCATGGGTTCACAGGGGCCCTTTGGCGGATGGCATGGGCTCCTTTCTCCCCAATCAGGCGACTCCGCGCTACAGTCCGGCTCGCCGAATCGTAGCTGCCTCTCTCTCCCTAGTTCCTGGATACATATCACATTGCGTTTCGTTTTCTAAAAATCTCTCGTTTTCTCCTCCGATTGCTCGTTGCTAACGTCTTGCCTCTGGCCCACCTCCCCCATTCGCCCCCGCCGGTTTAACGAACGATCGTTTTCGTGAAGGAGATGGCTACGTACGTCACGATCGCAAGGCGAAGTCCGCGAGGTCGAAAACGAAGGTTTTCCGACGATCGTCTTCTAACATACGCAGGAAATACAAGTTTTTGACGATTAAATCAGGAAACCGACGATGGATCTTTTTTTTTTTTTTTTTTTTTTTTTTTTGACGAACTCGACTGAAAGTGATTCTTAAACGACATCGAGCGGTCACGAATCCGTGTGTTCGTCTTTGAAAACTTCTCGTGGCATTTGACCATAGTCCAAGCCGATTTCATCCTCGTACTCCTCGCCTTGGGGGAAATAGTCGTCGTTGCGGATCCTGTCGTAATTGAAGTAGACGGTGCCGCGATACAGCTCGGCGAGATCGTCAGGGATTTGGTTCTTCGTGGCGTGATTGGCGATCGACAAAGGGTCCCTGTACCTTCGGTCCGAGGCTAGCGCGATCGATTCCTCGACGCCGAGCGAATCGGTGCTCGTCCTCTGCAGGGAGAGATCCGACATTTTCTTTGATCTCTTTTCGTATGTTTTTTTTTAAATTTTTTCTTTTCTTTTTTTAATTTTCACGGTCAAATTTGGAGATGAGGAAGAGGCAGAAGGGAGGTGGAGCCATAGCGGCGAGTTTCACGCGCTGCTCGATCATCGTTATCGAGTGCTCGCGACCGATTTCGAGAGACGATGGAACTGGTAACGTAATGGATAAAAAAAAATTGCTTCCCCTGCTTTTCCCGTTTGCGGAACTTACTTCGATTACGTTATCACGCCGGTGGTGTCTGGCCAGTGTGTCTGGCGTAGCCTGCAGCTGCAATTGAAATTAAAACACACAAATGGATTTCTTTCAACAGTTTATACAGGGTGAGTCTCGTAACGTGACGACGATCGAATAACTCATAAAATATTTTTCGTACGAGAAAATGTTTCAGATAGAAGTTTGATGGCTTCCAGGGAGACGTATAGTAGACTACAATCTGTTTTATGCTATTTTGCTTTTTTTATCAGGATATGAAGGTCACTCTCAATTTTTTAAATGGAATAGTTAATATCTCGTCCCGAATTCGGATAAAGCGTTGAATTCTACATAAAATAATATTATATACACCAAATAAAATCTAAAATACATAGTTACTTTCCTAATACAATGTAAAAAAATATTTCTGCTAATATCTCAGCAACTGTGTACTTTAGACTCTATTTTGTTTAATATACTCTTTTATGTATTACTTCTTTATCCGAATTCGGGAAGAAATATTAATTATTCCATTTAAAAAATTGAAGTTGACCTTCATATCTTGATAAAAAAAAAGCAAAATCACAAAACTAATTGCAATACTACATGTCCCTCCCCCCCGGAAGCCATGCAACTTCTATCTATAATTGTTTCGTACAACAAATATTTTATAATTATATTCGATATCGTCACGTGACGAGACTCACCCTGTATAGAAGACAGACGCGCGTCGATGAGATAGAAACGAACTACACGTGAGCTTCGAAAAGAATTAAGTTTATTCACGGCGAAACATGTGTACATAAAATTTTCATTCTATTGCCCCCCTCCCCGAGACGTCACACGAAATTAATTCACAAAGTTTAATAAATTTCTAATAATTATCTCACTGTAAACACAGAAGTTGAGAAGACTTTTTCCTCCACGATTCACGCTCTTACAGTCAATCGAATTTTGAATCAACGTCATCTATCCATCCGCGTTCATTTTCCCGGGCGAACGAGGAGTATATCTTCGACGAGAGTCATCCTGAGAACATCCTGGTCACACCTGCTTTTCTCACATTTCTCCGACTTCTTCTTCGCCTTCGTCTCGCAGCTCTTCTTTCTCTGGCAGCGCGTGTCGGCCTTCTTCTTCTTCGATGGCTTCTTGCACCGTGGCCCGTGGACGCTGTCGTCCCAGAACTTGTCGCAGGGATCGTACGTCATTGGCTCTTCCTCGTACTTCTTGCACGTCGGTCCGTGCCTCTCCTCCGACCTGTACGGTTTACACGGATCACCGTCAGACTCGCCGCATTTTGGCTGTTTCTTCTCTTCCCGTTTCCCACACGGCGTCTCCTCTCTCTTCTTGCCGCAGCTCTTGCTCGCCTCCTCCGTCTCGCATTCCCTCCATTTGCAAATTTCATCCTCCCTTCTCTCCTTCGTCTTGCCGCACACTCTCCGCAGTATTTTGTCTTTTATCGTGGGCTTGCAGCCGCTGTCGCTGGACGAGAAGAAGAGGACGAAAGGAGAAGCGGGAAGACAGGGCTGGTTCGAAATTGGAATCGTCGGTTCCACGTCGGCGAACAGCGACTCGAGGTTGTACGAGGTTAAACTCGACGCAGACCGCGATCTTCGTCTGTTGAGCTTCAGGTTCTCCAGAAACAAGGCGATATCCGACGACATCTTTCGCGCTTTTTCCCTCGTCTCGTTCTCCGACTCGCTGTGACTCGTTCTATCCTCGTTCACCTCGCAACTTTCCTCCGATCGTTCGACCGTCATCGAGCTCTCCGTTTGTTCCAGAGGTCTCGCGTTATCCGTACTCGTAACTTCCTCCGGCAAATCGCTCACCGAAGTCGAGACGTTCCATCTCTTCTGTATATCTGACTTCTCGAGTATCTTCTCGTTCGCGACAGAACTCAGCCTGTCGATCCTGCTGCTGCAACAATCGTCCGCCGGTTCGCCGCCGTCGAAGAATCGGCGGAAGAAGCTCGCGAGAGGTTTGCGTCTCTGTCGAACCAGGCCGTACAGCATCTTTGGCTTCTTGTCCGACAACGCGGCTGGAATCGTCCAGTTCTTCGACTTGGCCGTGTCACGCGATCGCTCTTCGATTTTAGTCGCCGATTTTCTCGCTTCTGTCCTCCTCTGCATTCTGTCGGATTTCCGCGCTCGATTCTCGGTAATCCCTCTCAGCAATTTCCTACTCGCCGTTTGCTCCGACAACATTATCTTCATTTGTTTCGCATCCTTCTTCCTCGAACGGTTCTTTCGGTCCGTTTTCTTCGTCGTCGTCGCGTTTCTCGAGGAAGCTTCCTCGAGCTCGAAATCGATCGGCGCTGCCTGCTGGCCTAATTGACGACTTTGGACGACGTTCGAGTACCAGCGCCGCGTGGCCGCGACGTCGTCGTTGCTAGAACGAGGCTTGTTCAGGTGGTTCGCGAAATCGGGGAACCGTTTATAAATCTCGGTAATGATGCGACCACCGTGCATCCCTCGGTACGAAGCGGGCCCCATTTCGGCGAGAACTCGAGGACCCTGCAGATCTCTAGCGGACGCGTGATGGTCCCCCTGAGAACAGACGGAGAGACGATTTCAAGGTGGTTGATTCTTCACGTTGTTTCTTTCTTTCTTTCGTTCTTTTTTCGTTTTCGAGGAGAGGATAGAAGATGGCGTTTAACTCTTTGACAGCTACTTTACGACAGAATATCGGTAGTATTATAGCATTACAAAGCACACTTTTGCGTACTTAAAGTTATTGCGACTATATAGTTCTTTTTAATGGAATCCCAGCATTTTCTACGGGAAAAACAGTATTTTGTACTCTCTTTGTACGTGAAGTACAGTGCTCCCTTTAAAAATTGTCGGTGTATTTATTTTTAATAGAATTCCAACGTTCTAAGTTATATTGAAATTAATGCATCAGCATTTTATAGTATGTTTCTCATACAAAATACACTTGTTCTCGAAATTGTTAAAAAAAACTTCATTTTTCACTGAAGAGAATTGAAGATTGGATGGGAAACTGCTAGGGAGATTTATTTTTAATAGAATTACAATATTTGATGAATCTTTTTTCTTGTACAGAGCATCAGATTTCTATATCTTTCGTATGGTTATTTAATTTTTTCCAATTTTGAAGTGAATGTACTGACTTTTACCTATACTTATTTATACTAAGTATATTAATTATATCTGTCCTGAATATCTTCTGCGTTTCTGGTATCAAACACAAAATATACATATTTAAAAAAAAAAAAAAAATAAACATTAGGATCGAATAAATTGATTAAATTGAATGAAATTGTGAAATTTTATATTACTATCTGCGTATATTATAGAATTCAGAAAACAATCAGTGTGCCGTACAAACATATCTTTCTTATCAAAATTTTCAGTCCATGGAACAATTTAGTTGTAATATCGTAATAATTATATTATAATAATAATTATCATAATAATTATACCATAATATATTATAACGTCATAATAATTACACTGCAATGACTAAATTGTTCCCTCCAATTTCAATGGATATTTACATGGCAGAAATTATTTTGTATATTTTTTTTAAATGCTCGTCTGCGTTTTTTTCCTTCGTTTTGAACTACACTGTTAAAAGCTTAACGCTTTCGTCGTGTAGTAAATAATTGTAATGTGACGGTCGAGCAGCGAATGATTTTTATTTGGCAAGTTTAACGTGTTCAATGCCCTGTCCATCGTCGTGCATTTTCCAGGAGACGCACGCACGTGATCCGAATGTCGCGCAACGATTCGGGGCAAAAGCAATCCCGATACTTCCTATTCTTTCTTACGAGTTACACCTGCTCCTCAACCAACCTCCTGTCGCGTAACAGAACTCTGATCGACATTCTTCTTTCGTCTTAAAAAAAAAAAGAAAAGAAAAGAAAAATATCGTATCAGTCGGTCGTTTGTTAATTCGATGTGTTAGCACCGTGAAACTCCGTCAACGCAATTGAAATGTTTTAGCGCCGCCTCGTCAGCTTCTCATCCCTAACCTCCTCCTCATCCTATGGTCGCCATCGATCGTAGTTACAAGTCGACGAGACGCGCCATTCCGTTTACATCAGACCAGTTCACAACGCGAAACTCGTTATTTTGAGTATCGAACATGAAGATGTGAAGATCTCTTCGATAGAAATTCGTTTAACTCTCGGTGGTGACTTGAGGTCATCTCAGTGCAATGTTGTATCAATAAAGTGTATAATAATCGACTATGTTTGAAGAGGTCTCGTCAGAGACGGACAAATCGTTTTAAAAATTTCGCTAACAACAGTCTAGAATAACTCAAGAAGTTGAAACACGTTCAATATAATATAGAAAATATATAAAAAGATGTAATATTATGTTAATATTATATAATGTATAATGTTAATATAATATTATATTATATTATTATATTATAATTAGTATTATATTATATTATATAATAATATTATAATTAATATTATATTATATTATATTATTATATTATAATTTATATTATATTATATTATATTATAATATTATAATTAATATTATATTATATTATTATATTATAATTTATATTATATTATATTATATTATAATATTATAATTAATATTATAATTAATATTATATTAATATTATATTATTATATTATAATATTATAATTAATATTATATTATATTATTATATTATAATTAATATTATATTATATTATTATATCATAATTAATATTATATTATATTATATTATATTATATTATATTATACGTAGAAAAATAAATATATTATCGAGTCAAATCTGACCCAGTCACCGCCGTGTTATTCGACAATTAATTTCACGATAAAATAAAGATTCTTACCTGGAATTTCATCATTGGTTTTGAAAATTGATTCGTGGCACATTCTTCGGCGATAGGCGGTTGACACAGACTTTCGACGAATTTCTCAGTTGCATTCTTTTGCACGATACAACAAATCTGTCATTTACTTCTGCAAAAGATATTGATGGAAAATGTTGGAATTACCTGGTTCAGCTTTGGCGCACGATTCGAGCAGAATGGTAATTGAACATTTTCGCTGCGAGTGTCACCCTTACTCGATCTCGATTTCTCCAGCATCGTCAGCATCCGCGAATTCTGTTAAAAGAACTTCACTAGTGCGTGATACTGAAAGATAAAAGCAGAAACAATCTGCGAATTTTACCGAGAGATTCGTGGTTTCACCGTTGCTAAAATAGTTCAATTTGATCGGTGTCGAAAATCGTTTGTTCAACGCCGCCACGTCATACAGCACAAGTACGTCGAGCTTCGAGGTTCGTTTTAACATTTGCGAGAGAGATCGTCCTATTTCCCCTACGCCTCCAATCGCCGCCAGCTAACATGAAAAATTATTTTTCACTTTTTAAACTGCAAATCATCGAATTGAAAAAGTGACCTTGACACAAGTGCGTCATAGATCTGTGTTATGTACGCTCAAACATTTATTGTTATATACCTTGATGTTCTCTTCACCAGCGTGATATTTTCGCTGCCCGATGGTTTTCACAATGGACTTGGTGGCCCGGGAAAACATTGTTAATCCTGTTGATGTATTACTGGAAATTTTTTTAACGCCTTCATCGGGCGTCCGACATGTCCAAATTATGGCGACTAACGGGTCTGGTTACCAAGTGAAGTCTTGCATTTGTTTCCTTAGGTCATGTGAAAATATGCAGCGAAATAATAAAAACGAAAAAAACAGGATCGTTGCTCGAATGAATGTGTTTGCAATGGACGTGAAAAATTATGCGTTTATATGTAAAAAAAATATTTCGGGCAAGTATTAGTCAGTTTCGTCGTATCAGTTTAGCACAAATTGCAATAGTAAAAGTCGTCGGAAAATCATTCTTTTGACAAAAAGTCAAAATCAACTTGATTTATTTCAATTGCGTCATGGGAACAGTTACAACTGATGTTAAGAGTTCAACGATTTATAATACTATAATTCCTTAAATAAACTTGAGGACAGAATTTTGAATTCGAATTCAGGAACATTCATATAAAAATTAGTTTTATATTTGTATTATTAAACTCTTTCGAAGAACACAGAATAGATTTAAATAATACGCGCCTTTATGAAATCTTCCAAATACAGCCATCTAGTAAGTACTTGTCAAATGCTTCATCGTAGATTAGGTCGATAATCAAAAGCATCAAACAGTGATCTGCATTATCTTATGAAAGAAATACTTTGTGTCCACACACAGAAGAGGCAGACGAAATATATGAATATCTCAAATATCAAATAATTATATTATAGTCCAAAATTAAGTTGGTTGTCTCTGTCTTAAGAATAATTATCAAATAAAAAAAGCGCTCACTTTAATTCAATCAATAATTTTTGATGTAACATTTTTCATATTTTCTGATTTTAGTTCCTGTTACTAGTAGCGTTGCGGTACAAAACCTAAATCGATATGGTAGGTTGTGATACGAAAATAGTATGGTGGTCAGGTGACCACCAAATGGGAGACGAAAAAGCATTAGATGTCTGGTTTATTGTGGTCATATCATTGACTAATTGTAAGAGTCAATGATGTTATCATTGACTAATAATAACGTTATCGTGAATAAATTACCAACTGTGCTTACTACAGGTGCTTACTTTATCGATCAAGTTATTTTCTCACGGTAAATTAGCATTTTATCAACTGAAGGAGTTTAGTTTATCCACAATCGGGGCATATGATTGATATTTTTTAAATAAATACTTTAGCAAGACACTTGATGAAATTAATTTAATTACGAAAATACACACACTCGATGAATAAATTAATTAAACTCGTTTGTTAGTTAAAATTCGTTACATCGATAAATTTATACCGCCGGTATTCAAGCAAATTGTTAGCGTTAATTAACAGTTACTTGATATATAATTAAACCGCGTTAGCTCGTGTTTCTGTTCAATAGGAAATCAAGGCAACGAGGATAGAACTCGCACACACTCTTTATTAAATTATACATTTAATCCATTTGCATTTCTCGTTATGCACGATGGAACGTTCTTCGTCCTCTCCATTAATATCCATCGTCGGAGAAAGTGATAGTATAATCGGGATACTGCGTTCTCAATAGAGAAACAGACACTTCGTGATCTGCCTTTCCGAAACCCTGCAAATAAATCCGACGTTACGCCACACGTTTTTTCGTTTCTTTTATCAAGGAATTATTTCGTATTAATTATACGAATTTTCTCTGTTTATGAATTTTCCACGAGATACACAGGCAACGTAAATAAATCAATTTTTATAGTGCTCTCGACTCTGATACGTGATAAATAAAAAAGAAAAATGATACGATACCCCAAGCAACATTAAAATTATTCTCCCTTAAGGTTTTTTTCGTTCATATTCGAAAAAAATCATTCACCGCTCCCAACAAATCGCATTCGATCGTACATCACGGTTGGTTCTAACTTGTTCCGATACAGTAAAGTTTTATGCAACGTCGTACCTTTACTCCATCATAATTTTGAAAGCAGAATAATTTCGTTTACCAATTTTTGCTGTTTAAAATCGGGAAAACCGGTGAATGATCATCGGTACACACTGTGAGTTTGCCCGGCAAGCACAATCTCAGGCGAAATTCGATTTTATCCACCAGCGTTTACGGATTTACCTTTCATCTAATTCCGATCTGCCCTTAAGCTTGACTTTTAATGGGAAAATTTTCCTTCTTGATAAAATTTCATCAAATTTTCATCACATTGATATAATAAAACTTTCATCCACTGCGCGTTTGACTCCTCAGGATTTAAACGTAATTGCATTATTAAATGACGGGGGCAAAGTTTAAACGAGCGTAGGGAACAAGTGTCAATGGGAATGACGGTGGAAGGTAGAATGGTAACAGGTGTTAAATTAATAGGATGCAAATGAATCGAGAGTTAGTAAGCCAGCGAAGTTCGTTAGGACTCATTAATCATGCGGATTTACCTGAGAGTATCCGTACACTTTGATGGTCTTCTCGTCGGGGTCGTGCTCTATTCTACCACCACCGAGACATTTGGCGCGCAAACCAGGAATCGATTTTATTTGATCGCCAACCTCGTCGAAAATATCGGCTGAAACGGAAAAAAAAGGGAAGGATTTCATTAGCGTAAATTTAGTTAGTTTAAGAACCAAGATTTTGGTTACTTCATCAGCGGCATCATTGTGATATTTGAATATTAACTGGATTTTTACTGAGTATATTATATTATTAATATATAATATTATATTATATTATATTGTATTACATTATATTACATTACATTACATTACATTACATTACATTACATTATATTATTAGTATATTATTTATATAGTATATTGTATTATATTATATTATATTACATTTTATTACATTATATTATATTACATTATATTACATTATATTATATTATATTACATTTTATTACATTATATTATATTATATTACATTATATTATATTATATTATATTACATTTTATTACATTATATTATATTATATTATATTACATTATTAGTATATTATTTATATAGTATATTGTATTATTTATTATTTCCCCATACGGAAGAATATTTAAAAAATAACTACAAAAGTCATTTAAAAAGACTGCGAGACTATTCGTAAATTTAAATATGTAAATTATTCGTAAATTTTGGAATATTTAGAGACGACCAGATGAAATAAAAAATGAATAAAATGAAGAAATCCGTTTGAAAAATATTGCGCACTGTATATAAAATTGTTGTTTTTTTTTTTGAAGTTTGTTTTGAAGTGAAACGTTTGTTTAGTTGCTCAGTGATTGTGTAAACAGTTCTAACGGTTATATTTTTTGCCAATGTTTGTTATCATTGAAACAAAAACAAAAGGAGATTAAATTTTGAATTTAATTTCTTACACATTCCATTTCTTTTTCTTTTTTTTTTTTTAAATAAAGAAATTATAAATATCCAAATCAATAATACGGAATAAAATGATGGATCAAAATCCAATCATGTTAACTTAGCTTTGCAGCAGATGCATACTCTGTTTCACGAGTATACTGCTTGTCTCTTTATTTTAGCTACATAACAAATTAATCCTCTGTAATCTATGACAGCAATTCTCAATCAGCCACGACATGATTATTTGATATTTTTCATTAAAATAAAAAGACTTATTAGAATTTAAAATGTGGAATTTATAGTACTGTTCAGTAGGTTGTGTAATAAATTCGTTTATCTCTTGATTTTATTGAATTTCGTTTTTGAGGATATTAAAAGTATGTATTATAGAAAGCCGAGTGGACAATTATCCAATTGAATAAAAAAACTTACGATATGAACATATTAAATGTTATGCAATTGTAAATAGGAATATTTCAAGTATAATATAAAATTGAGAATAATATACAATACTTGAAATATTAAAAGAATCATTTATTTCTTAATTTAATCATATTTTTTATTAAATGGTGCACTTATGATTAATGAACGATCTACTATTTGAATATTAATCATTTCTTTCACAAGAAAGATGTTCTTTGCAGACAGTAATTTAAAGAACAGAAATACACATATTATATACATGCAAATTTTTTTATAAACAGGTTTTTTATAAACAGTCGATGATTTTTTCGTAGACTTTTGTTTCCTTCGATGAGTAGAATACGATGCAACGATTGATCTAAAAATCAAAGTCTAGATAGATTTTACAGCAACTTTCTTTGGTAACCGATCCAGAGGTACAGGATCACGCTATGGTAGCAATGAAAATGCAATTCTCGCCCTTTTATCTACATATAACAACTTAAAACTGTTAAACGTATTTCAATTTAAGCGAACTATTGAGATCATTATATACAATTAATAATAACTAATTAATATTATATGTTGATATCGTTTATTTGAAGATTTATACCTACATTTTTTTATATTTCCCTATGTTCCTAATGACGAAAATAAATTTTATTTCCATTTACCAATTTGATATAAACTCCAACTCCATTAAATTAAAACAGAAAGTACGCTTAAGAGTCAATTTCACACATTCTTTTCTTTTTTAGATTAAAGTCAATTATCCATCGAAGTACAACTTTTCGACAAAAATTTTCTCTCACAAACGCTGTCACAGGATAACAGTTATATAAAATGATTGCCTAAAAATATATTTAGTCGTCGTTAGCTGAGTATATTTAGCTGTTATAAAAAGCAACGTTGAAAATCATTTAAAAACTATTTTCCAATACTGTATCTCGTCGAGTTAATTCAACGACGATAACGTTTTAAACGGCGGTGTTAAAACAAAGAGATGTAGACAGCGAGCGAATAAAATAGAAAGGAATTCGATTCAGTCGGATAATTTTCAGTCGATTAAATTTTCACAAAATCGCCGCTGATTATAAGAAATTCCAATCAGCTTTTAACTAAGAACCATGCAGAATATTAATAAAAAAGAAAAAGAAACAATAAAGTCTGGAAATCGGAAAACATAATGAAGCATCGATATCGACTCCAAGAACTCTTTCAGTCGCGCTTTTTCAATTTCTCATTAAACGATTTAATTAATGCGTTCCTTTCTTCTCCGACATTGGTGCGAAAAATATCGATTTTAAAAAATTCCGAGATAATTGCAAAGAGAAATGCCAATTTCGATTACGAACGTACGAAATGTAGAAAAATTAAGTTAAATTATTCACATGCTGTTCGTAAGAAGTATCGAACGGACAGCAAAATATTAGGAGTTTCCAAATTTTTGTCATCTGACTTTGATATTCAAAGGAAAGAAATATTATGGTAAATATATTATAATATATTATAGTATAATATAATATAATAATTATATTATATTATATTATATTGTATTATATTGTATTATATTGTATTATATTATATTATATTGTATTATACTGTATTGTATTGTATTATATTGTATTATATTATATTATACTGTATTATATTGTATTGTATTATATTATATTATATTATATTGTATTATGTTATATTGTATTATATTATATTATATTATATTATATTATATTATATTATATTATATTATATTATATTATATTATATTATATTATATTATAATAATATATTATGGCAAATTTTAAGGGGTCCATTTTTAAAAATGGATCTAATCACGAACAATTTTTTTTAAATGTCTTCGGTGATGTCTTTGAATTTTTACAATTCTCAAGAATAAAAATATCCTCACTTTCCCACCCGTGTTACGTACTATGAAAATCATCTTTGACAAAAAAAAAAAAAAAAAAGAAACAGAAACAAACTGTCGAAACACCATACGTCAACTGTCGGAAGGTTTTACGTTTTAAAATGAGAGAGAAAGGATTAAACGGGCATATTCCGGCAGAATTCTCCGACTTGTGAGAAAATGATTTGACATAAACTTTATCTGACCCAGCTTGCACAACCCACGCGAAACTGAAAGAGTTAAGGATCAAAAAACAAAGCCGACAAATGTATTTGTGCAGATAATTTATTTACCACGGTGGAAATCAGATTTAAGACACGCGGGGATGTCACTTCCGCTCGTTGGAAATCGATATCGCTTCATTTAATATTAAACAAGCACATGATTGCCAATTACTTAGAAGAAGAGCAAAGATCAACATTTCTATTGTGTGTAATGACCAAACATGCAGCTGATAAAACATTTCTACACGGAAGTTGAAGCGAAGCTGCTATTATGAATTCCATGGACGGTCGATTTTCGCGGTAATAGCACAAAAGTTTCGTCCTCGGCCGTGACCAACCAACAATTCCAGCGACACGTGTTGAATAAATTGCACGTGTGCAAGATGTGGATCCTTCGCTACAAATTATGGCAATATACGTACAGGCTAATCTATTTAACTCTCGCAAAATGGAAATGTAGGAGTAAGGAATTGAAATTGTTAAAATAATTTAGAAAACAATTTTATTATTAAAATGTAATTATTAAAAAAAGAAAAAAAAAAGAAAATTGTCCGGGACACGTTATCTGGTATTTTTGCAAGTGGAGTGGTCGAGGTGATCTCCATTGATTTTTTTTTTTTTAAATAGAACCATATAAAAAGGTATTAACCTATTTGTATCGGAAAACCATTTAGGTGATGTTTTCGTTTCAATTTTATGAAGCTTGTCATATAAAAGGAATACGAGCAGCGTATTCCTGCGTTTATGTCTTGTCTGTCTTTCGTACGATGAGCTTTATAAAATTTGTCGACGTAAATATGTTATTTTTCTTACAGATTAATATTGTTTGTGGCTCCATTTAACGGAGAATTTAAATGATTTAAAAAAAAGATCAACTCGACGTTGAAATTTCCACAAAATTTCCATAAAATGCTATTAATACCACATAAATTTAAACGATTCCATTTAAAAATAATTGATCTTGGAATTTCCTTCACTTAAGAAAGTACTATTAGCATCAATACATAACATGCTCCTTTATATCGAACAAACTTTTGCACGAACATTTTTTTTTTTAAACTTCAATCCCTTACGAGATAAATTATTTCTGTCCATTGCTGTTTAAATAACTGACTATAGTACAATTAAAAATGACACAACAGGTTTTAAAAGCCAGGTCGTAAAACATTCTTTTAATAAAACATTCTTTTTCTTTTTTATTGTGTTACCGTTATTGTTGTATACATAACTTCCATAAATAATTATACTTTCGTTTTCCAACTTGTCCGATTACAAATTTGACGCATTTCAAATGAACGATTCGATAAATTTCTGTTTCAACGGCTTCACCCGACTCTACCTTTCGATAAAATGTAAATGATAACACGATAAAGATCAGAAGAAGAAAGGAAACGAGAAAAAATTTCGGGGAAAGCCGCTAAACTAGAAATTTACCTATAATATTTTTCATTAAACTAAATTAATTTCGACGATTTTGCAACTTTGACGCACACCCGCGAGTCTGTTTCTCCCTCGTGTCTTTTTTTTTTCTTTTTTTTTTTTTTAACAACGCTCGGCCGTCCGTTTTTCTTGTTTGCGTAGAAAGACTTTTGAACTGATTGGCTATCTCGTATAGAAGAATCGTATAAAACGCTGGAAATTCAGACTCGCGGGCAGTGTGTTAAACTCTGTATCAAAGTTCCTATCTGTGACGTAATCAGTATTAATACTTAAGCGACCAACACCGTACGTA